GGCCTGTCTCACCTGATGACCTCTGACCTCCCTGGTTCTCCTTCAGGTCAGAGCGCCCGTCTCCTCTTCCACTCCTCTTCCCATCATGCATCAGTCCAGACTCCGCCACCCCTGGTGTACAGCGTCCTGGTGGAGGACAGGAAGGTGTGTCCGGTTGTGGAGGGAAACCCGGTTTTTCGTTCTGGTTATTAACCCCCGCCCCCCTTATTCTCCCCCCCCCCCCCCCCCGCCACCTCCCGCAGCACCGCTACAGCCTGAGGAGCCGCCGGCGGTCAGACCTCATCTGAGTGACGTCATCAGTGATGTCATCTGCAGCTGGAAATAATTATTTTCATTTTTATAAAGATAAAATAAAAATGTTTTTAACAAATAGTCTCGTGATGATGCCCCCTGCAGGACAACCGCGGAACAACAGTCAGGTGCTTCAGGTCGGGTCGCTCTGAGCGAGAAGAACCTGCTGCAGCGAACAGGAAGGGGCGGAGCGGACCGCTGTCAGCCTCAGACCTTATATGGAAACAGGACCATTGCACTCTGGAAATGAAGGGGGCGCTATTTCCAATATTATCCTCTCGTTTTTATTTTCCTTTGAAATCTGTGATATTTTCACCTTTAGGAAGGATTTTCACTCTTTCACTTTTCTCAGTCGCATCTTTTTGGGCCTGATGCTGCCTCTAGTGGCGTGGGGTGGTAACACAACTAATGTCACTACATTACTAAATCAGAATAGCACAAAGTTTTTATTTGCTATTAATTTCAGCATTACTGACACTATAAAGATGCATTTTCTAATAAAACATAATCAGAGCTCATTAAAATGACATAGAAAAGACCTTTATACATTATAAATAATATCTATATCTCCAATTACAGGGGGAAGTAGATAATTAGTAAAATATAATTTACAAAGTATACATAAGAAACTTAATTGAACAAAAGTCAATAACAAAAAATGAATTCTCTTCACAGAAGAATAATAACCAGGTTGTTAAACAGATCCAAGATAAAATTCACATTTTTGTTTTTATGGTAACGTATATTATTCTGAGAGACTTTTTGTTGGTAGAGACTAAATATAGGAAAAAATAAGATGAAACTATGTAGTTTATCAACATGAAATTTTCCTTTGATTCGAAAACAATAAAATAGAATATCATTTTCCACCCAGTTCTTTGCTTGTAGCTAATATTTTGGTTATTCCAAATAAAACAGTTATGAGGGGAAAAGTTATGTTTATGAACCAATGTCCAGGATGAAAGTTGTTGTTTAAGGAAGCTGCATAAATGAACAGGGAGCGTTTCTGTTTTGTAGTTACATCTTGATAAAAAGTCTGAGCCACCAGGATTTAAAGACTTGTGCAGGAATCCAGTGACACTTTGAATTAGGATTTTTGAAATATCTTTGGATCCACATAACTGTGAATGTAGAATGTCAGGAATTAAAGTCCAGAACATTGAAACCACCTGAACTTAGTCTATCGATCAGAACATTGTTCCTAATAAGACGGGGCTTTTGCCCAAATGAAATCAAAGATTATTTGATTGCTTTTAGTGCAAAGTGTGACTTTCAGTTTTGTTCAGCAGGACTCGAGCAGAGACGGTCAACATTTAATCTGCAACCAGAGATTAAATAATTGACTACAGGTTTTGTTCATTCTTGCTGTTTGCTCTTTAACGATAGTTGACTTCAGACTTAAAAATAATTGATCACAACTATTGATTGGAAGAAGTTCACATTTAGATAAGTTTTTAAGACCAGATGCTACAGAAAATGGATTAAAAATTTAGTTTTTCCTGCCATGCTTTTCAGATCATTATTTTTAATAAAAGTAGCCAGAATTTGCATAGGGAGAAGAAACAAAAAGGGAGATAAAGGGCATCCCTGACGATTCCCACCTTTGATTTTAAATCTTTTGGTAGTTTGGTAGACGGATGGGTCCTCTAACCCAGTGGCGGAGCCAGAGGGGGGGCCGGGGTGGCACTTGCCACCACCAACAGGCCCCTGGTCACCCCCTACTGCCACCCCACTGGAAATAATTTTAAAATAAAATACTTATGAGATCGGCAAAGATTTGCCAGGAAAAGTGTAATTTCCGACTGTCCCTGAAGGCAGCCCGATGCCCGACGCTGTTCATTGGTTAAACTGACATGTTGGTTCCTGCTTGATCCAAAACACATCAACGGCTTTAGAGTTACACCGTCAGGAGTTCTGCAGGTATTTCCAACATTTTACCGCTCAGCAGTAACCGCTGTTACCTTCCTAATGAGAGGCGGCTCTTGTCATACATTTCTAAAAAGAAACAAAATGGTTGTGTACCGCTGCGTAGTGCCTCGTTTATTATATTAGCCATGCTAGTGCTGGTAGATCGTGTTTTAGACAGATTCTTTTAACATGTTTTAGTGACATGCTGCCCTCTAATGTTTTATTTCTCCCAGCTCTTCTTGAAATGTGATAAGAATATGAGAAAAACCATTAATAATAATGACTGAAATGTAAGTAGGCTATGTCATATGAAAGCTTTGAATTATAACCTCACTAGTTATATTAATTAATTTTGATTAATCTATTTTTAATTTAGTATTTTAGATAGCTACAGAAAACTAAAAACTATGGTTTAAATAATAGTTAAAATAGTGTTGTCTCTGCCAAACAGTAGAGTCTAAATACCAGGCTGTTACTTTGTGTAGAGCCAAAATGAAGAGAGAAGGGAAGATCTCCAGTTCTTCTTAAAGAGGCAAAAACCAGGACCAGACAGAACCCTGCAGCAGTGACCAGGACCAGACAGAACCCTGCAGCAGTGACCAGGACCAGACAGAACCCTGCAGCAGTGACCAGGACCAGACAGAACCCTGCAGCAGTGACCAGGACCAGACAGAACCTTGCAGCAGTGACCAGGACCAGACAGAACCCTGCAGCAGTGACCAGGACCAGACAGAACCCTGCAGCAGTGACCAGGACCAGACAGAACCCTGCAGCAGTGACCAGGACCAGACAGAACCCTGCAGCAGTGACCAGGACCAGACAGAACCCTGCAGCAGTGACCAGGACCAGACAGAACCCTGCAGCAGTGACCAGGACCAGACAGAACCCAGCAGCAGTGACCAGGACCAGACAGAACCCTGCAGCAGTGACCAGGACCAGACAGAACCCTGCAGCAGTGACCAGGACCAGACAGAACCCTGCAGCAGTGACCAACCTGGAGAATCCAGCCAGGAGACTCCAGGCCCAAGTGTATCACCAGCGGGTTAGAGGCTGACAGAGAGTTATTAAGTAATAAAATCCAATAAGCCTAATTCTAAAGGTTAGCATGATGCTTTTTGCATTTTTATTGTGTCTGTTTATGCATTTCCAGTTAAGTTCCAGAGAGAGATGAGGGTGATACAGATTCAGAGTCAGACTCTGGGGAAGAAGACAGTGAAGCAGAAGGAAATGGACTGAACTGCCCCCCCCAGCACAACCTATTGCACACCAGAAGCACCAGTTTATTTATTTATTTATTTTTGAGAATTTGTTTTTGGTCATATTCTGGGCTCTGAGTTTACATTTACATGTTCACTGGTCCATAGAGCCGTTTAACGTCTTGTTTGGTCATGGCAAATCTTAATTACATAAACCATTTTAATTTGAGTGGTGTGAGAAAATATTTGTTTCCTTTTGTTCATCATTTGTATATGGACCCTCTGATAAAGCCTTGCTCAGCCTTTGGCCACCCTTGAAAAAAAGTCTAGCTCCGCCACTGCTCTAACCTGCCACATCCTTCAGTAATGAGTTACTATTTCCACTCCAGTAATCAGATTACAATTACTTACCATTTCCCTCAGGAAACAGACGTATCGTTGCATTCTTTCTTGCCTCCTGTGTAAAACTAGCAGAGTCACCAATGATGGAGGGAGAAGCGAGATTTGTGTTTTCTAGCTGTAAATCTGCCTTATTCAGTTTTTATGTTGCCAAAGATGAGATTGTCAAGGCAGGTTGTTCCCTCTGAGCCTGACACAATTATTTAATTCAATTCAGCTGATAGAATAATAGAGGACAACCAGAGAGGATTTCAGGTCGAACGCCCCCTAGTGGAGGATAAAGGCACTACCAGTAGATCCCAGAACAGGCTTACAAGCTGATTGCTGATGTTCAGATCACAATTTCCTGGAATGAAAAGACAAATGAGAAATATTTTTTCATCAATTTTCTAACTGGATTTACATTGTTTTTAGTCTTACATCACTAATGATTTCATATTTATTAACCCTTTTCACAACTTTTTTAGGAGATCAACAAAAAATTGCGACAGAACGAACAGCCATGCATACGCTCACATGTAGGGAGAACGTAGAGAGACCACCTGTTTGGTCTGTGGGAGGACAGCGGAGAACCCGCCATGCACAGACCCCAGGCCGGGAATCAAACCCAGGACTTTTTTGCTGCAAAGCAAAGGTGCTACCCGCTGCACCACTGTGCACAATGACAGTCTTCCAGTCTATCAAACTATTTAGCTTTACATCAATACACCAGTATTTGATGAAACAGCATTCAAATTGACGAGCAAGTAAGTTACTTTTGGATTTACAATCTCAGCAAAGACAGCAGCTATTGGCTGTCGGACGGATGATCTTTGCCACATTCAGCTGGTTTCTGAACAACATTCCTTCAGAGGCTTTTAGTTTTTCTTCCTCCTCTCAGCATTTAATCCAATCTGAACCAACTTCACCAAACAGAAAACTATAAACTGTTCTGTGGGTCACAACCAGCAGGAGGTTAAAGGTCAGATTATCTGAAGATCTGCCTCATTAAAGAACCTCCAAAGACCCAGATGTGTTCAGACTGGCATGGAAAGAGTTCTGCTGGAGTTCTGCTCTCCGGTTTTCCTTTTGCTCCAGATTCCAGCCTGGAAAAAACCAAAAGCAGAGAAAATGAGAAACCAGACGGCGGGAGGAGGGGATCCGGATCAGATGTCTGGGAGGAGGAGGAGTTCTGGTCCGGCTCGGCTGTTTGGGTCGCAGTCTGGAGCTGCGCAGAGACGACCCAGCTGCTGTCTGGAGGAAACCCACAGCTTTCAGACGAGCTGGAGGGTCGGAGGAGGAGCAGAACCAGAACCCGGAGCAGAACCAGAACCTGGACCCATCGGACCTCCTGGAGCAGCAGAGTTGGGTCAAAACAGGCGGCAAAACTCCTCCAGGTGTCCTCTGATCCAAGCAGCCGGGTCAGGTCGGGGGGGGGGAACCGGGTCCAGTCAGACGATCTGAGTACAGATCTTACCAGACTGTTTCCATGGCGACTGAGATGGAGTCCACGACGGCGGGAGCCGAGAACTTCCTGCAAGAGTGACAGAAAGACAAAGAGATGGAGGAGAATGAGATCAGAACCAGAACAACCTGAAGCTGGACTTTGGATCTGAATGGGGCCCGGTGTGAGCCCGGTTCCTGCTGTAGAGAATCAGAACCTTTCTGAGATCCAGAAGATGATCTGAGACTCTGTGACCTTTGACCTTGGCATGCAGCTGAACCAACCCCGCAGTCTGACCCCCACTTCCTTCTCCACCCAGTTCAGCACCATGAGGTTCTCCTACCACCTCCACAGCGCCCCCTGCAGGACAGGTGAGTCACTGCTGACTCTGTGTCCAGAAAGGAGGCGGAGCCTCAAGAACTTCCTGCTAATGGTTGGTTGGTTGGATGGATGGATGGATGGATGGATGGATTCAATGTCTGGACCTGGTTCTGGTTCTGGTGTCCAGTGGGTCAACAGGTTGTTCTTCATCACATGATGGTGAATCTAATTGGAACTCTTTAGCTGCAGGTCACATGATACCACTACCACGATTTGTCACCTGACCATGTTTCACACACACACACAGACACAGAGACACACACAGACACACACACTGACACACACACACACGCGCACACACAGACATCGACACACACACCCCGCTTCCTTGAATGAAGGGCTTCAGGTTATAAATAAAGACGGTGTATATATATATATGGTGTTGGTAGGGATCGTTCTCAATGCTGCATTCACATTCTCAATGAGACTTTCTGATGGTACTTCACTCAGCCGTTGTAATTGGCGCCGGGAGGCCTGGTTGTCATTCGGGTCATGATTCTCTCTCTCAGGTCAGCAGCTGTCTCGTTCAGCTCTGTTTCGCTCATTGGGGCCGTGTATCCCCTCACTGGGTGGGGACTTGTAGTTAAGTCCCACAGTTCTGACAACTTAGTATCTCTCATGGTATGAGGTAGGCAGTAGCTTGAAGGGTCTTGCCTAAGGACCCAGACTGGATTCGAACCCTGCCCTCTCGGGTGATATACTGATGCCTTATGTATTGAGCTATCCAGTCTGAGAGCCTTCATTGCAAACTCGATGAGGCTGTGGAAAACCACCCTTGAAGCCAACTGCAAACCACTTACACAAGTGTCCATCAAATGTGGCATATACCAAGGAGATGCTCTGTCCCCGCTACTGTTCTGCATAGGCCTGAACCCCCTCAGCCAAGTTATCAACAAGACTGGCTACGGATACAGACTCAAAAATGGGGCCAACATCAGTCACCTCCTCTACATGGATGACATCAAGCTGTATGCCAAGAGTGAGCGAGACATCGACTCACTGATCCACACCACCAGGATCTACAGCACGGACATTGGGATGTCATTCGGACTAGAGAAATGTGGTCGGCTGATCACAAAGAGGGGGAAGGTCATCCACACAGAAGGAGTCTCACTCCCACAAGGAACAATAGCAGACATAGAGGACAGCTACAAGTACCTAGGTATACCACAAGCAAATGGCAACCTCGATGAGGTCACAAGGAAAGGAGCCACAGCTAAATACCTCCAACGAATAAGGCAAGTCCTGAGAAGCCAGCTCAATGGCAAGAACAAAATCCGTGCGATAAACAGCTATGCCTTGCCAGTAATCAGATACCCTGCTGGAATAATTAGCTGGCCAAAGGAGGAGATAAAAGCCACAGATATTAAGACCAGAAAGCTACTAACAATGCATGGAGGGTTCCATCCCAAATCCAGCACCCTGAGACTGTACACGAGCCGCAAGGAAGGAGGCAGAGGACTAGTGAGTGTGAGAACCACTGTCCAGGACGAAACAACTAAGATCCATAAATACATCAGAGACAAAGCCTCAACAGACAATGTGCTCAGTGAATGTCTCAGACAACAGGGAACGGAGGTTGAGGTGCCAGAGATACCATCATGGGAGGACAAGCCCCTACACGGGATGTACCACCAGCAAATAACCCAAGTGGCTCATATCAGTAAATCCTACCAATGGCTGGAAAAAGCTGGACTCAAGGACAGCACAGAGGCCCTCATCCTGGCAGCCCAGGAACAGGCCCTAAACACCAGAGCAATAGAGGCCCAGATCTACCACACCAGACAAGACCCAAGGTGTAGGTTGTGCAAGGAGGCCCCTGAGACAGTCCAGCACATCACAGCAGGTGCAAGATACTGGCAGGGAAAGCGTACATGGAGCGACATAACCAAGTGGCAGGCATTGTGTACAGAAACATCTGTGCAGAATATGGACTGGAAACCCCGAGATCAAAGTGGGAAACACCCCCAAAGGTGGTGGAGAACGCCAGAGCTAAGATCCTGTGGGACTTCCAGATCCAGACAGACAGAATGGTAATGGCGAACCAACCAGACATTGTCGTAGTGGATAAACATCAGAGGAAAGCCGTTGTGGTAGATGTAGCAATACCAAGTGACTGCAACATCAGGAAAAAGGAGAAACTGGAGAAATACCAGGGCCTCAGGGAAGAACTGGAGAGGGCCTGGAAGGTAAAGACCACAGTGCCTGTGGTCATCGGGGCCCTCGGGGCAGTAACCCCCAAACTGGAGCAGTGGCTACAACAGATCCCAGGAACAACATCAGACATCTCAGTCCAGAAATGTGCAGCAGTCCTTGGCACAGCCAAGATACTGCAGGACCCTCAAGCTCCCAGGCCTCTGGTAGAGGATATATAGATCTATATATAGATCTATATATATAGATCTATATATAGATCTATATATATAGATCTATATATAGATCTATATATATAGATCTATTTATAGATCTATATATAGATCTATATATAGATCTATATATATAGATCTATATATAGATCTATATATATATATAGATCTATATATCCTCTGGTAGAGGATATATAGATCTATGTATATAGATCTATATATCTATATATATATCCTATATATATATATTACTGATTATACACCCCCGAGGATATATAGATCTATATATATAGATCTATATATCCTCTGGTAGAGGATATATAGATCTATATATCTATATATATATCCTCTGGTAGAGGATATATAGATCTATATATATAGATCTATATATCCTCTGGTAGAGGATATATAGATCTATATATATAGATCTATATATCCTCTGGTAGAGGATATATAGATCTATATATATAGATCTATATATCTATATATATCCTCTGGTAGAGGACCCGAGCTCAGAGGATAAGAACCATTATTATTTATATATATATATATATATATATATATATATATATATATATATATATATATATATATATATATATATGTTAAATATGCAGATTTGAGTTCTATCAAATTAATAGTGGTTAAGAAAAATGTAATGGAAGTCTATACAAAGTCCTAAATATGATGGAAAGGTAAACTTTTGTGTGCGTGCATGTGTGTGTGTGTGTGTGTGTGTGTGTGTGTGTGTGTGTGTGTGTGTGTGTGTGTGTGTGTGTGTGTGTGTGTGTGTGTGTGTGTGTGTGTGTGTGTGTGTGTGTGTGTGTAGGCTCCGGATCCTCTGACTCTGAACTGAACTCCTGGTTGTCCAACTGTAGTTCTTGGCACTGGATCGAGTGTTTTGTTGAGTTTGTGGTTATTTTTTTCTGCTTACGGAAAACATATGGATCCAGGGAAAGAACTCTGATTGGCTCAAGCTTTCATGACCTTTGACCTCAGACAGACTGGAGCTGATGCTGCAGTTTAGAGTTTGAGCAGCTGGACTCTCATGGTTCTAGTTCTGGTTTGAACTGTGAGCAGAACCTGAAGCCTGAGGAATGCCGAACAACTTCCTCTTCCACCCAACAACTTCCTGTCTGTTGCGGCCCGACCAGTAAGCCACAAGGACAAAGGCATTCATAAAAAGAATATTTTCTTTTTACTTTCAACAAATCTAAACAATATAACAAAATATGCCCAAAAGAAATCCTCAACTAAGGCATGCCTACCTCAGGACAGAAACCATAAACTGACCTGAATAAAATCTGACAATGAATTCAAATGGTAATTTATACACAAAGGCTAGCTTACACAGATGAGGAGAAGTGTGATAGGACACAAAGATCCATAAATAAGTAACTCAAACCAAAACATTTTGACTAGAACACAAATGTAAAAACAAAACAACCTAACAACAAAAATATTTTAGCAATTGTGCTCTGAGTGGAGAAAGGCAGATTCTGCTTCCAGCAGCCTGATGGATTCTTCCACTTCCTGGTTTCAATCAGTCCTTCAAACTCAGCAAAACAAAGTGGTATAGGAATCAAATAAACACAAGGTGTTTACTAAATGTGTGCACCCATAACAGTAAACAACCTAATGCAATAAACACCACAAAGAGTGGAATTATAAATATACTGTGTGAAAACATTTAAATAAATACTAAAACTGGGGAAAATATGGAGGAACCTTCAGAATGTTTGTTCAAAATCTTTTAATGTGAAAATTTCAACCAACTAAAATCAGTATTTAGTGGGTTTCGAAGTAAAAAAGTTAAAGTTTGGAGGTTCTTCAGCCTGAAATGACCCTGATGAAGATGAGCGAGGTCAAAGGTCAGCTGGGCCTGGAACACCCGCTCTGCTTCAAATCATCAAAACGAGAAACACTTGTCACATTTTGTTTTGAATGAATTAAGTCACCGGTCATCATCAGTCTTCGTGGTTCTGGTGGTTCGGCGGGATGTAAAAACGTTCGGCGCTCCATCCTGACGCTCCGGATCATTCCTGATCAGAACGATCAGCTCCAGCTGTTTCTCTGGGACCCATCCAGCTCTGTGATCCAGACCCGGTTTCTGGTCTGGGACCAGAAACCAGGTCATCTTCTGCCGGATCTGATCGATCCGGGTTTCTCATGGTTCCTCCTGTTCATGTCTTTCATTTCTGCTCTTTACTCCAAGATTTGTCCCAGCTGAAGGAAACTGTGTTGGGAAGCAGAACCTCTGGGGTCATCTGGACTCTGCCCTTCTCACAGAAACCATCCTGATGGTTCTGGTTTATCTGCATTCCTGTTGCAGGAACCAGCGGCCATCATTCGGATGATTTCATCTGGCAGAAGAGATAAAAAGTGGCTTCACTTTTCAAAGTTATTCACTTATAAATCTCACAGTTTCAAAATAAACATTTAACATTGAGTTCTGCTTTGGTTCTGTTCTCGGTCAGACTCGAGGAGGTCAAAGGTCAGGGGAGGCTCTGCCCAGCTGTATGAGGTGAAGAGGTGGGTCCAGTGCGCCCCCTTCTGGTTGTGTCAGAGGTTCTGGTTCGGTTTACTGCAGATGACGGACTGCGCACAGCAGAACCGAGCCTTGGAGGGTAAACCTGGAACCAGAACCGAACCGTCAGTGGTTCTGGTTGCTGATGTTTGATAGAAATGGTTCTGTTGACTGCTCGGCGCCACGTGATCACCTGTCACCTTTCCTTTTAATTTGTTGTCATGGAAACCAAAGAGGAGAGGGGAAGAGAGGGAGCGCGTCCCCGCCCCCTCCCTCCGCGCCGCCGCCGCACGCGCACCGGGCAGAACCGAGCCGCGCGGATCCACCGCCTGATCCGTCCTGAACGGCAGCCGCGGGTCCGGACCGGCCGAACCGGGCCGTGTGTGTGTGTGTGTGTGTGTGTGTGTGTGTGTGTGTTTGTGTTTGTTCTGCTGTGGACCGCGGGAGCCGCTCTCCCCGCGCACCGACGTCTCTTTAATGACCGGATTCGTTTTCTGCTGCGCGATGTACATGGACCGAAGCAGCCTGAGCAGAGGTGAGTCCGCCAGCCGCATCCGACCCGCACCGCGCGCACACACCCTGCAGGAGGCGCGTGCTCGTCCTATTTTCCTCTCTGTGTGTGGAATAATCCCGCCGCGCACGCGCACACACTGACCGACATCCGCAGTGGAAGTGGGCTACTGGCGGCCGCGCGCCAGATGTGACACCGACCTGAAAGCGGCCCCGCCGCAGTCACGTGACCCGCTGCTGATGGGTGGGATCGATCCGACCGGTGATCGATGAGCTGCTGTCTGTTTGGACCCGGACCGAACCGAGGCGAGCCCAGCCGAGCCGAGCCGAGCGCGGCTCATCGATCGTGTTTCTGTGAACACGCGCGTCCTGACGCGATGTGTGCGCGTGCGTGGGCATCAAAACCAGCAGAGAGAGACACCCTTCTGATTGGGCCTCGCAGCAGAACCGAGCCTAGGCCCGGTCCAATAACGGCCTGGTGGTTCTGAAAATGTGAAAATCCATTTCAGTGCTACCGGAACCAGAATCAGGTACATCAGTGGAACCTGTCGGGTTCTGCAGGTTCTACTGAGCAGAGCCGTCCATTCAGCAGGAACAGAACCAGGAAAAGGTTCTGGACCGGCAGGGAATTCACATGTGAAAATCATTTTTTAAAACATGAAGGATGTGATTCACATGAAAGAGGCTGAGAACACATGTGGACCCAGAGATTCACATGTTCTCATTTTTATTTTATATAGTTTTATTAATTTTCACATAAATCACGTGATAAATATGAGTCCACATGAGTTTTTACCACCAATCTTTCCAAATCCACACAGAGAGAGAGAGATGCGCTTCTTCATGTGATGCACATCATTCACATGTGAACATTGGTGTGAAATGTTTTTCTTGGTTTTCACACATGAAATCCCTGAGAACTTTCTGTGATTGCATCAGATCCAGGTTCCTGTTGCCTCTGCTCCTGGTTGCCGGTTTGGTTCCTGATTGGTCAGCTCTGGCTCTGATTGGTTGATTCTCTCTGTGTTTTCTTTGGACCGAACTTGGTTTGGTTCCAAACCACTGAAAACACTAAAGGTTCAGGACAGCAATGAAGTGCCAACCTGCTAACTGTTCTCAGTAGAGGGTAGTTTGTGTTTTCCTCTTCGTCTCAGGGATCAACAGCGGACCGCAGGTAGAGCCTTGGGGAACCCCAGGACTGATACAGGAGAGGAGGAACACGACTGGAAGCTGACAGGATGTGAAAATCTAGCGTCTGAAAGGCTGAACATGGATCCAGGAACTAAACTAAGAGCTGTTTTAGTTCTTTCAACCAGACTAAACGATCCACAAAGATCTGGAAGAAATCTGGAGATGATTCAAACAGCCGACTGAAAACCGTTTGATATAAAGGTCACTTAGAAACTGGGATTATAGTTAATGCCTGCATTCCCAGCAGTCCTGTTCAGTTGACATAATCCAGCCTACAAAGTCCAGTCAGTTGATTTCGGGAACCTGCAGAATGGTGTCAACACTCATTGACCTCTGACCTCTGGTCCTCCAAACCTCAGTCTGGGTTCAGTTTGAATGTGAACACCAAGCGGACCAAAGACCGCTCCAAAGCAGGAAGTGGACTACAGCGCAGGGCATTCTGGGTAACCAAAGCTAACATGCTAGCCTAGCGCTAGCAGCAGAAATGGCTCCTGGTCTTCAGCCAAAGACTAAAGAGAAATCACTAAACTCTGACGCCTCCATCTTGTTTCATCTGGTGAACAGGAATTGCTCTCAGTGTCTTCAGAGGTTTTAGTGTCGTTTCCTGCAGTGGTTGTTGGTGCAGCGCCCACAGGCCAGGAGGAAAACAGGCTGGTTTGGGTCAGAACCACAGCAGCTGGAGGTGGAGCAGATGTTCTGGTTCCAGTAGAACCGGGTCGACCATCAGGAGGGAATAGAAGAAATATGACAAGATGACTTATTGGGTCCAAAAGGTAAAACCAGATCTGAGTTATGTCCTGTGCTGTGGGGCCTGTCAGTGACCGAGTCTGATTAAAGTCTTTTCTTCTGCCAGTGGTCCGAGAACAGCTCCAAGGTCCAGAACCAGCAGGGACAAGTTCAGAGAATGGAGCAGATCCACCAACAGGAAGGCAGTCAGAAATAGGACCTTAAAACAAACCAAATAGAGAGGGATACCTTTCCTGTCAGGAGCAGGTCCTGGAGCTTCTGGGACCATCTGATGTCTGAAGATGGTTATCTGGACCAGAACAAACAGAGTTACCTGGGTGACAGGTGGGGGCTGAAAATGGCGGCAGACTAACAGAACTAGATCCAGAACCAAGTAAAGGTGTGACGACAGTGAACTTGTCAAGTTGGACCATCAAACACCATGGGTGGCGCCATCTTGATTCAGTCTGTCTGCAGAACAAGCTGCAGTTGGTGACAACTGGATGAATAAACCATCAACGTTCTGATTCACTTCAGATTCAGAACAATTTAAAACGTCTTCAGTGAATCAGAATCATTAGAACTTCCCAGTAATCTTAGGAGAACTCAAGCCTCTTTCTGACCAACAGTGGTGTTGGAGGATTGTGGGTAGTGTAGTTTGGCCAGCGGTTTTCCATCAGCAGAACATCTGGTCCACATCAGCCCACTCAGGCTTTCCCATGACCTCCTAACAAGTTCACACACACACACACACACACACACACACACACACACACACACACACACACACACACACACACACTTCCTGTCTGGCTGCTCTGCTGGTATTTAAGCTGCAGGAAGCTGCTGAGATGTTGCTGCTCTCAATGACTGGACACATTTTCACCTCATGAATTTCTTTCAGCTGCTGTTGCTGTAACTGCCTGAACCAATTGGACTGGTACCGGGTCACAGCCTCCTGTTCTGCTGGCAACCATTAGAACCATCAGAACCTCTAGAACCGCTGTAGAACCGCTCACTCGGTTTTATCACTTTTTTCCCAGAAGATTCTTTTGCTGTTTTTAATCCTTTTCCAGATTGTTCCTGGAAACTAGAACGGCTCTTGAAATAATGGAGATAATTTTCTTAACTTCTGGCCGTTTGGACCAGAGGCCGAGCACCGCCATCAATCTGAATAAAGCTCTTTACTGCCCCCTTCAGGACAATGAGAACATCGTAGATGAGAGGTGATGAAGATGAGGAGTGGGTTCTGCTCTGGACCAGAACCTGCAGAACCAAAGGGTCCAAATGGTGTGATTCTGTCAGTGGAGGAACCCGATAAACGGAGTTCATTTCAGGGTCTGTAATCCATTAATCACACTTTATCGACTAAATAAGCAACATTCTGAATTCAATACAACCTAAGCTAACATGCTACTAGCCCTAAATTATGAGACCTCTGACCTCTGATGTTCTGCTCTTCAACAGATTAAAACTGTTTTCATGTGAAACCATCAGATTGTTTCAGGAAGTCCTGCTCAATCATGGAGCATCTTTACAGGTCTGGGCTGTGGGTGTTAGCTGCTACAGGTTTAGCAGCCAGGTGCTATTTTATGCTAGCGTAGCTTTGTTGATAAGCTAACTGCTTTTAGCACAACTCAAACAGAACAAAAGCCTTTTTCAGTCACGTTGTTTAGGATCAGAGAAGTTGCTTCCATCGCTGCTGTTAGCGACGTAGCTGTGCGTCACATTCACGGCTGTATCAGAAACCAACAAGTACGAAGGTTCCAGAACACATTTCTGTCACCGCTCTTGCAAAGAAGCATTTTTTTTCTTTATTTGGCTGTTATTTTGAAAGACAGTGGGTGTGTGACATGTGTCCTGCCCCACAGGCCCCGCCTCCTCCACCAGCCCCACCCTGCTGGCTAAGAGCCTCTCTCTGGAGCCGTCCTGCTCTCCATGTGGCCACCAGGGGGCGCTGGACGCTGACGCTCCCCTGCAGCCCGACTCGGACCCGGGGTCGGAGGGAGGGGCAGAGCCGGCGGAGAGCGGCGGATCCGTGAATGACACGGGGCCACCAGAGCTGCCAGTAACCACGGTAACGGCGCCAAACCGGACCCGTCCGCCACTGCCGGGGCCCAAACCTCAGGGTACGTTTAGCGGTTCAGTTGCTGCTGTCTAGATTAGTTGACTTGTAACTTGGAGGTTACAGGTTTGATGCATGTCAGGGTTCAGAAATGTGTCTCTTGTGTAAAACGCTTTTAAAGGTCAAATTGATTGTAGAAGTTTTGTGCATTTCATTCAAACCCACTCTGTGGCTCCACCCCTTTCCTTTAGTTCCCCCAAAGCCCCCCCACCTGCAGCACAAGCAGGAGCCATGAGGCCACGCCCCCGAGTCCCGGAGAAATCCCTCCCACCGCCGCCCCCCTGCAGGCCCCTCCCTGCTGACCCCCGGGGGGGCTGGACCCCCCCCAGCCGGGCCGACGGCACCGCCTCCCCCACCTGCGTCCTGTCGCTCATCGAGAAGTTTGAGCGGTAAGCTGTGATTGGTCGGAGTGGGGGTGGTGTCATCGCTGCTCCTGGTTGCTGATTGGTTGTCTGTATTGCAGCGAGCAGATCATCGTGGTGCCGGACATCACCGGGGGGGCGCTGTGCCCCCGCCCACTGGACCCTGCTTCCCCCGGTCTTCATCACCTCCATCCTCTGCCTCGCCTGTCCCCCCCCAACCCGGGGGGGCGGAGCCACCCAGTGACTTCACAGAGAAGGATGACATCACGCAAGGGGCTGACCTATGTGATGAAGATGATGAGGAGGATGAAGAGCTAGAGGCGGCCTGCCGGGACGACGTCCATCACAAGCGTCTGTCCATGGAGTCGGGCTACAGCGCCTCAGACAAACCGCTGGAGGACGAGGCGGTCACCATGGACACGGAGGAGCAGCAGCCTCCGGACCAATCAGAGCTGCCCTCCGAGTGCCTGTCCCTCCCCTCTTCGCAGACGGACGGGAAGTTGGCCAATCGGGACAGCGGCATTGACAGCATCAGCTCGCCGTCGCACAGCGAGGAGCTCTGCTTCGTCGGCGTGGACGACGTGGGCGTGGCCTATACCTGCAGCCCCGCCCTGTTGCCCCGCCTCTCCAGCTCCTCGTCCACCGCTGGGGAGGTGGGAGAGGGGGAGGAGGCTCGGGCGGGGCGAGGAGGAGGGACTTCTCTGAGGAAGGGGACAGCGACCTGGAGGAGGAGGCGGAGCTAACTCTGTTTTGGCCCCCCAAACCGGACCGCCAGGAATCCCTGGGTGAGACACAAACCGACCAATCAGAGAGCAGGTTGGTCATACACTGGCTGATGTGAAAAACACGTTCAGGTTTAAAGCTGCGGTCTGTAATTGTCAGCGTGATGTGATTGATCTCCACCTCCCTGAGCTGCAAAACAACCAATCAGATCTGGGAGCCGGGTCTTAATGCTGTCAATCACCTTTATGTACTCGCTGCTCGATGTTCTAATGACAGAGAAGCAACAGGAAAAGCGTTCATCAGCCATCATTGGTGGCCATGCTAACTAGCCTCGGATTCACAGCAGGCTATGCTAGGACGCGTAGCAGCGAGCAACGAGGGCTGAGCATCACCATGAAGAGGGTGACTGACAGCGCTTAGACCCGCCTCCCGGCTCTGATTGGTTGTTTCTAGTTAGAATTAGAAGGTGGAGGAGAATTTTCTACAGATGATCTGAGACAGATAAATCCACAACCTCATCAGAATCCCCTGGTTCTGTGTCCGGTACTGAGACGGATCGGAACCTCAAACGGTCTCACTGGTTCTGTTTGTGTCCAGCTGTCTGTCCATCAGCGGGTTTTCAACATCGCCAACGAGCTTCTCCTCACCGAGACCGCTACGTGTCCAAGCTCCACCTGTTGGACCAGGTGAGTACTGCGGCCAACAGCAGGGCAGAAGGCCCGCCCCCAGGCTCTGATTGGCTGCCTGTTCTGCAGGTGTTCTGCGCCCGCCTGCTTGAGGAGGCGCGCTGCCGCTCCTCGTTCCCCTGTGACGTGGTTCAGGGAATCTTCTCCAACATTTGCTCCATCTACTGCTTCCACCAGCAGTTCCTGCTGCCGGCGCTGCAGAAACGCATGGAGGAGTGGTGAGCGTTTTTTGACATTCATTTAACCTTCATTTAACCTTCATTTAACCTTCATTCAAAACAAATTATCAATGACCTTAGCGACTGATTGAGCTTAATAGTCAAAAGCAACATTAGCATCTCCGACTGCGTTTCCATTTTGCATAATATTGCACAAATTGAAGTTGTAAAAATAAATTTGTTTCATGGAAATATGGTCATTTTGAAAAAAAAATGTTATCAAATATTTTTGAGCTGGGTTGAGGTGTGTTGTCGACCAGATTGATATCGATGTATTTCACAAAACTGTATGGAAACATTTTATTCACATTATCAGTCATGTGATCAGCCGCCGGATGTTGCTACTGGCAGAAACGCTGAAGAAGACGACAGGAAGGGGGCAGCGGATGATGCTTTGCTTTTTCTGGCTCCTCCCGCGTCTTGAATCCATAACTGTTCTGGAAAATGGCCGACAACAGTTTCCCATAAACGCCGCAGATGGAGCTGAGTAGGCGGGGCTTGAATCAGTCGCCAGCGTCTCTTCTGATTGGCTGACAGACGATGAGCGTTGACTCCGTGTTATGAATAAATCTAATGTTTACATCAATTACTGCCAGGATTTTAAATGATTTATCACACAAACAAACTTATTAATTTGTTATTTAATGGGAACACTGTAATTTCAAAATGATCTTTTTTGGCATTAGCAGAACAAAGATTTGCTCACATTAGTAATGGAAATACAGACAATGATTATCAATAACTTTTTCTAGTGATTCTCATTTCTTTGGATTTTGGATTTACTGAAGTGTTGCTGCTCCTACTGAGGATGGTACAAATGTAAGAATTGTATCATCTGCATAGAGGTGAATAGATGAGCACTGAGGTTCTGCACTGGTTCTGGTTCTGCCTGCAGGGACTCCAACCCGCGGATCGGCGACATCCTGCAGAAGCTGGCTCCCTTCCTTAAGATGTACGGAGAGTATGTGAAGAATTTTGACCGAGCCATGGAGCTGGTGAACATGTGGATGGAGAGGTCCGCTCCGTTCAAGGCCATCATCCAGGAGATCCAGGTAGGACCAGGACCAGGTGGGACCAGGCCCTGGTCCCACCTGGTCCCTGCCTCATGCCGGTTTTGTGCTTGGCAGAGGAGGAGCGCTGTGGGAACCTGACACTGCAGCACCACATGCTGGAGCCGGTGCAGAGGATACCCCGCTACGAGCTGCTGCTCAAGGATTACCTGAACCGCCTCCCGGAGGACGCCCCGGACCACCGGGACGCCCAGAGTACGACGCCAAACATCCAAAGGAACCACAGCAGGAAGCCAAACACACTGTCCTTGAACGTCTCATGTGTTTGTCTGTGTGTCTCTGCAGAGTCTCTGGAGCTGATCGCTACGGCTGCAGAACACTCCAATGCCGCCATTAGGAAGATGGTAAGACCGGATGGGACAAAACCAGAACTTTCTGTCAGATTGAGAACTGGGAATGAACCTGGAGCCTGGAATCAGAACATGTTCAGATTCAAGCAAGTTTTGGGGACTGTGCAACCAGAAACCCTACTGGTGATGACGGACCCCGCTAGGGCTCCTGAACCAGTCGGGGGTTTAGGTGATCATTGGAACCTTCTGTGGCTCCTGAAGTTAGACTACCATCCCAGTCTGCTTGGTGTGTGGAGACTGCAGACCTGGACTGGTTCTGGCCCGTTGTGGAGGAAGGAGGACCTTGGGGACTTCCTCAAGCCGGCCTTCATATCCTGCAGAGTCCATCACCACGTTGGCCTCTGAGGACCAACAAGCGGATGAAGTTTTTCCTGAAACGTCTTCATGTCTCCTGGAGAACTAGGACAGAACCAGGAGTGGTGATCCGAGGCTTGAAGGTTCTGTTCCCTCTGATCCAGTCAGTTTGTCTAGAAGTCCAGTTTCAGTTGGTGAGGTGTAAATGCTAAGCGAACTCTGACCTCTAGCCCTCAAACCTCAGTCTGGGTTTGGTTAAAGTGAACTCTGGTTTGGTCTGAATGCATGTGAACGCCAAGCCGGCTGGAGACCACTCCAAAAGCAGGAAGTTGACTATAGTGCAGGGCATTCGGGGTAAATGCAACCAAAGGAAACGCCCAGCCTAACGCCAGCAGGAGAAATGGCTTGTGGTCTTTCTCCTCTATTGGCCAAAGCGCTTGACTCGGAGCTGTGTCATCAGGGATCTGAGGGATTCTGGTTTCTTCAGGAAAGCTGCACATAAAATCTTTTGCAGATGAAGTTTGTTTGTCCAGGATCAATTTTAGCTTTCTGGATCTCCCAGAAGCTCGGGTGATGTTCAGGCTGCATTTAGCTGCGAGGTGAGACAGAGGTGGTGGGAAAACCTCCGAGGCTGACGGGAAACAAAGCCCCCCTGCAGTTAAACCGTTATCTTCTGCTCCTGTTATACTGTTTCTTCAGGGTTCTGGGTCTAACGTTCAGTCGGTTCTGTAAGGTTCTGTAAGGTTCTAGTGTTTTCCGGTTCTTGTCTGTCCTTCAGGAGCGAATGAGGAAGCTGCTGAAGGTTTATGAGCTTCTGGGTGGAGAGGAAGACATCGTCAACCCGACCAATGAACTCATCAAGGAGGGACACATCCTCAAGCTGTCCAATAAGAATGGAACTACGCAGGACCGATACCTGATCCTGGTATGGGCTGGTTCTGTTGGACCCTCAGCCGGTCCGGCGCCCGGGTTCTAACAGCTCCCTTTTTTCTCCTCAGTTCAACGACCGGCTGCTGTACTGCGTCCCCAAGCTGCGCCTGATTGGTCAGAAGTACAGCGTCCGCGCTCGCATCGATGTGGACGGCATGGAGGTGAGACTGTAATGGCCCCCAAACCACACTTTGAACCTCCCTGGTTCTGGTTCTGGTTGAACTAACAGAGTGTTTGTGTCCATAGCTTAAAGAGACCAGTAGTGTTGCTGTTCCCAGCAGAACCTTCCTGGTGTCTGGAAAACAGAGATCTCTGGAGCTGCAGGCCAGGTAGGTGGACCCGCCCAGACCTGGGAGGCAGAACCGCTTCAGAACCGCTTCAGAACCGCTTCAGAACCGCTTCAGAACCACTGCGGTTCCTCTGAGGCTCGCTGTGTGTTTGTGTTTCTGCAGAACGGAGGAAGAGAAAAAGGACTGGATTCAGGTGTGTTCCTGCTCTTCCTGAACACCAAAGGTTCTGTCGGTTGTGGCTGGTCCAGTCTCAAACATCAGCCGGTTCCAAAACCTAAAGCTAAACCTAAAGTTTATTGTTGAAACTTGTTTCAACAATAAACTGCTTGAACTATTTTAGATTAAACTTTTAGAACGTTATTGAGATAGACTTGCATGTTTCATGCAGGCCATCCAGGCCACCATCCAGCGCCATGAACAGACCATGGAGAGCTTCAGACACCTCACCTGTTCTCTGCGAGACGACGAGTCCACGCCGCCCCACTCCCCGGTAACAGCGCCCCTGGTGCTCTGCTCTGGTACTGCGGGTGTCGAAACGCTAACGAGTCGTTTTGCTTTACCTCAGAGCTGCGTGGAGTTGGGAAAACGAGCGCCAACTCCGATCCGGGAGAAGGAAGTGACTCTGTGCATGAAGTGCCAGGAGCCGTTCAACTCCATTACCAAGAGACGCCACCACTGCAAAGCCTGCGGACATGTATGTCCTCCGCCCGGTTCCGCCCGGCTCTGCCCGGTTCCGCCCGGCTCCTTCTCTCACCGTCTGTCCTCCATCTTCCAGGTGGTTTGTGGCAAATGCTCGGAGTTTCGCGCTCGCTTGTCGTACGACAACAACCGGACCAACCGCGTCTGCGTGGACTGCTACGTGATGCTGGTGGGGGCGTCGCCGTCGTCCGGGCGGATGAGCAGCAGCAGCCATAGGAGGCGCTCCATCCTGGAGGTATGCGTGACATCACTGTGACATCACTGACATCACCACAGTCCGACGCATTGTCGGCCTGACTGACGTCTCCCCTCTGTTACCATAGAAACAGGCATCGCTGGCCGCAGAGAACAGTGTGATTTGCAGTTTTCTTCACCACATGGAGAAGGGCGGGGGGCGGGGCTGGCAGAAGGCGTGGTTCGTCATCCCGGAGAACGAGCCGCTGGTGCTCTACGTCTACGGCGCTCCACAGGTGAGCCTCCATCACCTGGGCCCTACAGGAGGCTGCAGGTACTACAGTCAGCACAGGGTTGGGCTTCTTTAATCCAACCGGTCGAGATGAACCTGCTGCAGCAACAGGACGGGGCGGGACAGACCGCTGTCAGCCTCAGACCTTATATGGACCATTCCAGTCCGGAAGTGAAGGGGGCGCTGTTTCCTATATTATCCATAGCCTCTCCAGCTGTGTTCTGGGCGAGAGGCGGGTCACCTGGACTAGTTGCCAGACTGTCGCAGGGCAACATAGAAACAAACAGGACAAACAACCGTGCACACACACTCACACCCCACTGAGTCTTTAAGAAGACTCAGTGATCTCTGGGTTACCCAACTAGAGCTTCTGTACCAGACAATGTTGAGTTTGAACTTTTCATCTCCTCGGCTGGTTCCGTCTCATGAGCTGCAGATTAACAAACTTTTAATGAAACTTTCACTGGCAGGTAAAACAGCAGGTAAATGGTGGTGAAACCAGAACCAACTTTATCTCAACTGTTTGCTGGAAGATGATGGAAGATGCAGGAATATTTTAGCAGAGAGCATCCATCCTCTTTCTTCATCAGTTTGACCTCTGACCTCATGAAGCTGTTTCTGTTTTCCTCTGGTAATAACAATCTATTAGAAATCATTTATTGACAGGGCAATAATTATTCTTTACCAGCTAAATGTTAACATTTACCTGCAGCTTGCTGAGAGTTTTACTCTATTCATAAATTATTGATGATGTGATTCTATGAATAGGATTTATTGTTTTAGAGGAAAATTTTCATGTTGATAATGAGTATATTTTCGACTCTACCAACTAAACGTTTCTCAGAATAATATACATGGCACCATAAAAACAAAAATGTGAATTTTAGCTTGTATCTGTTTAACAACCTGGTTGTTATTCTTCTGAACCTGATTCATTGTTTATTATTGACTTTTGCTCACTTAAATTTATTATGTATACATTGCAAATGATATTTTTATTCTAGTTGATCATGTTGTTTTTCATGTCTCATTATTTCTTTTGTTCCTTCTATAATTTATGGAGATATATAGATATTATCTATAATGTATAAAGATATTGTTTATGTCATTTAATCAGCTCTACATCCTTAAGGAAATGAAAAATGTTTTACAATTGATCTTTTATGGTTCCAGTTATGCTGAAATTAATGGTCAATTATAAAGACTTTGTGCTATTCTAGTAATGTAGTGATATTAGTCGTGTTACCACCCCACGCCACTAGAGGCAGCATCAGGCCCGAAAAGATGAGGAGCAGATTTAGAAGAACACAGGAAGTGACAGAATCTGTTAAAACTGTAAATAAAAGAGAAAAGATCAAACACAAACTGAGAGTGAAAATCCTTCCTAAAGCTGAAAATATATCACAAAGAAAATAAAAACATGGATAATATAGCGCCCCCTTCACTTCCGGAGTGCAATGGTCCAGTTTCCATATCAGGTCTGAGAATGACAGCGGCCCGCCCCGCCCTTCCTGTTGCTGCAGCCAGGTGTAGTTGAGCCAGTCAGGAAACAGAGACATACGCTGTTTCAAAGTGGAGGGTAAATACCCACAATGCACCTGGGAAAGAGTCAACATAATGAAGTGTATGGTTGTTCTCCGCAGGATGTGAAGGCACAGCGCAGCATCCCTCTGATTGGCTTCGAGGTCTCGCCGCCAGAGTCATGTGACCGCCTGGAGCGACGCCACGCCTTCAAGATTTCCCAGAGTCACCTGACTCTCTACTTCAGTGCAGAAGGGGAGGAGCTACAGCGCAGGTGGATGGATGTCCTGTCCAGGGCCGGCAGGGGGGAGGAGCCTCTCATCCATCTATCTCGTGGAGAGCGTGGAGGAGGAAGGGGAGGAGCTCGATGGCGAGGCGGAAGGAGAAAACACCTGATTTCACTGGAGTGAAGATGAAGATGAGGCCGAATCTGGAAAACATGTCCTGGTTGGACCGAAGAAAAAACACAGCCAGAACCAAACCCGAGTTAATCCAGAACCAAACCCGAGTTAATCCAGAACTAAGTTCCCAAACAGACCAGGTCAACCAGAACAAATAGAAATAATCTATAATTTACCCAAAACAAACCACAACTGACCTACAACAAACCCAGAAACAAAACAGGAGAAATCTCTCGATAATTCACATTTCATCCAAAATAAATCCATAAATAATCTGTAACTAATAAACACATCATTTTTACTGAAACAAAAAGTGAAGATCAGAACCAGAACAAATTCAGAACCTGAACACAAACCAGCAGCCAATCCAGAAACATGAATATAATGCTAGAAAATAAGATCAGATCGAAAGCACTAGAACCACAAGAACCAGAACTCATCCGGACCGGTTCTGGTTCTGATCCGGACCACATCTTGTTCTGGTTCTGGCCAGCATAGTCCAGAAAAGCAACACATCAAGATCAGAAACAGTCCCAGACGACCCGGTGAAGTTCTGCGCTTCTTTGGACCCGACCCCAAGAACCGGAACCCCAAAGCACACAGAAGAGTCCGCTCCAGAGTCTCCGGATCCGACCCAGATCGTCCTCTTTAGAGGAAGCTGCTCCTCTTCCTCTATGTTCTGTATGACTTTCTGCTGGAGGTCCAGATCCAGACTGGATCGGATCGGATCCTGGGAGAACTGGGTCACCGAAGGTCAGGCTGGTGAGACCGCGCTGGTCCGGTCTCATCCCAGAAAGTTTTCACACCTTCACAGAACTTCCTGCAGTACCAACCTAAAAAGCACAAAACGGGCCCAGAGTTCTGCTAAGCAGCTTCTGTCTCACATTCCTGAGGATCCGAAGATCTGAAGGTCTGGTCCAACAAACAGCAGGGAACCAGAACCTGACCAGAACCACAGATTCCTCCACCTCACAGGCTAGAACCGATCCATCCCACTGGACTGGCAGGAGGTTCTTCAGAACCGGAACCATGGAGAACTACATTTCCCAGCATCCTCTCCCCCTGCTGGTGAGGTTGGGCACAGCAGGGTTCCTGTTCTCTGAATTTATTTCTTTTTGTTTACAGCAGATCTCTGATTTACTTCTTTTTCTTCAAAAAATGACAAAATGAAACGTGGAACTGTTTAATATTTAATGTTGGAGATGAAAGGTAATTTATAAACTGAGTTTTATGAGTTGGAGAAAATCTTTAGAAATTAAGGAAATATCAACTTTTTATGTGATTTTATAAAAACTTTGTTTTATTTGGTTTTTAATGATCAGAGTAATGATGTAAGACATGATGTCATCTCCAGTCTTTTGGAGCAGCTGATTGGCAGGAACACTGACCAATCAGAGCAGAGATTGGTTATTCACTGGCAGGATTCAGTCTTTGGCCGTTTCCTGACAGAAGAACCTGATGGAGGAACGATGATGATGATGATGACGAGGATGATGATGGTGATGATAAGGAGGATGATGATGATGACGAGGATGATGATGATGATGGTAATGATTATCATGATGATGATGATGATGACGAGGATGATGATGATGATGATGGTAATGATGATTATCATGATGATGATGATGATGACGAGGATGATGATGATGATGGTAATGATGATTATCATGATGATGATGATGATCACGATGACGGGCTTGTGATGTCTAATCTCTGGAAGTTCTATACAGACTGGATGGAGTCTTTGACTGGTTTAAGATGCTTCCAGTGTTTAGATGGAGCCGACTCTGTTTGGACTGGTTCTGGCTCCATCTCTCTCTCTCTTTCTCAATTTATCTGTCTCTTTTTCACTTGTTTTCCAGAAAGTTTTTTGAAATTTTACATCTAAAAAATTCTAAACATTCTTGTTGTTCTCAAGCTTTGAACCACAGATGCTCTCTGGGTTCCCAGTTGGTTCCCAGTTGGTTCCCAGTGAATTCCTGCTTTGGGTTCTCTGTGTCCATAAGTCTGGCAGTGTTCATTCTGCTTAATGGAGAAACTTTTGTAAATATAATTTATTATTTTGACCTAATGCTCATGTGACTATGTAAAGGTTAAAGGTCAACTCTTAGTTGTTCCTCCAATCAGAGTTACACAGGAAGTTCAGACTGGCAAAGTTTAAAGAGAGATCTGACGTGTTAGAGACGCTGGGCGCTGCAGTGGAAGCTGAGGGAACCTGTTCGATCACCTGGTGCACCTGGAGTACCAGGTGCACCAGGTGCACCAGGTGTGCCAGGCTCCAGTTTACATTCTGAAACAGAAAAAAAACATGTTTGAAACATCCAGGTTCATGATTTGCCTTAACTTCTGTATTCTAAATGTCTGAATCCTGAATCCTTTCTGTTTTCACTGCCACACCTGAACCTCCTCTTCTCTGGTTTCTGAAGGCCGGTTCCTGGAACCATCAAAGTTGAGTAGATTTTTATGTCCTTTGACTCTTCAGAGTCCATCTGAACCCCTGACATGTTTGAGGCTTCGGTCTGTAGAGATAAACATGGCCGCTGCTATGATGAACAAGAAGAATTGCCAAGGTTCCCCATGTTCTTGTGGTTGTGGTTGTCACAGTGCCACCTGCTGACTGAACGTTCCTGGTCTTTGATGTTAGCAGTTTCCCTCTGCTTCCAGTGACTGTGCTAAGCTATGCTAACACATCAGAACAGGACAGGTTCTTGCTTTAGGTTCTGGATTTCTGGCTCTCTGATTGGTTGTTTGGCAGTCACCATTTGTTGTTAGCGTGTGTTTAGCATGTGGAGCGGTGAGGATGGAAGGAAATGGCCACCGGGTCTTTCGGCGCCTGTTAGCGTCTTTGTTTCAGTTGATCTGTTTTGTTCTGTTTCTGTCAGTGTGACTGAAGCCTTCCTGTTAGCAGAGTTCTAACTGGTTCTCAATGGATCCCACTGGTTTGGGATTGATCTTATTGGTTCTAAATCAGTCTCTTTAGTTTGACTGATGTCCACCGGTTCTCACTGGTTTTGACCAATTTCAACTGGTTCTAATTGGTTTTGACTGGTGCTAGCAGTTTTAAGTAGTTCTCATAAATTTTCACTTGTTCTTTCCAGTTTTAACTGCTAGTATCTGGTTCTTACAGAATTTTCTTCTCTCTTCTCAACTAGTTCTTGCAGGTTGTTACCAATTCAAACCGGTTGTATCTGGTTCAGACTGGTGTTACAACTTTAACTGGTTCCAACTGGTTCTTCCAGGATTTCACCAGTTCCTGCCAGTTTTAATTTTAGCAGTAAAAATTCTAGCTGGATCAGTTTGGACCAGTTTATATCAGTTGTAACTGGTTCTTATAGGTTTTCACTCATTCTTTGGCTTTGATTGCTAAAGGTTTTGACAATTTCTGCTTACTGATAGCTACTGGTTTGACTGGCCCAGATTATTTTGACACGTTGTTCTAATCAATGTTTAATTCCAACCATCCTGACAAATTTGAACAACTAGTCAAGTATCCCTAGCTAGGCTTTGGTTAACCTGTTAGAACTGGTCAGAACTGGTAAAGGATAGTTCCTGACAGTTACTTATATTTGACTAACTGGTTATAGACATTCAGAACTGTCATGGTGAGGGTGAAACCAGTTACAGCCAGTTACAACCAGTTACAGCCAGTTACAACCAGTTACAGCCAGTTACAACCAGTTACAACCAGTTACAACCAGTTACAACCAGTTACAGCCAGTTACAACCAGTTACAACCAGGTATGTCCTGTTGAAACCAGTTCTAACTGGTTACATCAAGGTATTTCCAGTCGGTTTCAGTCGAAGCTCAATGAACTTTATTTTCAGTCAATAATCAATAATCCCCCCCCCCCCCGTCTGTTCTGTTCATTTCCTGACAAGTTGCCATGGTAACATCTTAGAGGACCAGGGAGTTTTGCGTGTCCATGTTACCATGGCAACCACACCTGTCTGGATTCCTGTTACCATGACAACAACAACAGCTGCATAAGCTTTATACCAAAACTTATGCAGCTGCTGAATTTAAAATTTCTTGTTATTGTCACATTGATTGATTGATTGATTGATTGATTGATTGATTGATTGATTGATTGATTGATTGATTGATTGATTGATTGATTGATTGATTGATGGACGGTTTTTGGTTAGTGGCCGGCCACTGCCTTCCATGCTGTCGCTGTCTATTACCCATCATGCACCTCTGTAAAATAAAGTAAATGAGGTTGTAATGAAAAAAATAAAAGTGATGAAATGGCTTAACGGATTTCTGTTGTCTGCTCTTCTTGGGAGAAGCGACGGCGCCACCTGGCGGCGTTATTCTGAGGTACAACTGAAGTCAGCAGGAATCTGTTCCTGTGACGTTTTCAGGAACAGATTTAATTATTCATGTCATTTTTCCTATGACGTCTGCAGCTAAAAGCGGCTCCAGCAGGTGTTCATCTCTCCACCAGTTTACCCTAAATTACAGCAGGAACTGTTTGAGTCAATCGCGGGATTGATTGATTGATTGCTCCAGATGATCCAGATGTTTTTCCTGAACGCAGAACGTTCTGCTCTCATTGAACTCTTTTATGTTTTTCTGATTTACAGATCAAAAATTGTCATCAGCGGCTCTTATTTTCAGAGTCAGCTGTGTGATTACGTCACAACCTCAGCTTCGTTTGGACTCTCCAGATTGGGCAGAACGTGACGGCTCAGCTGAGCCAATCAGGGCTCAGGAGGATGACTTTACCTGGGAATTCCCCGTCACAAACGCTCCCTCACCCCCATCCCAGCAGCACCACCGCCTCGCCACCTCTTTTCCTAACATCTTTGACAAAAACAAACAACATGGCGGCCTGTGAGAAACTGATTGGCTGTCAGGAAACTCCTAAAAGAAAGAAGCAGCTGATTGGTTAAAGGGAGCTCAGTGGCGGGCATTGAGCCCGCCCACTGAAACATAGAAACACAACACCTAGAAAAAAGATTCAGATTCGATGCATTTGTAAAATCAAATGAAATCTCAGGTAATGTTGCGTTCATCAAAATAGCAATAAAAAAATTTTTGGACACATTTTTATAATGACAATAAAATATGAAAGTCCACATTGTGTTCTTGGATGAATGCTCATTTTAAAAATAAGATTTATTTAATTTCCGATGTTTCTCTCCTATAGAGACTCAGCTTGTTGAATTATAAAAATAAGAACAGCTAAATTTGCGTTTTGTCATATAAAACGATAAACTGAATAAAAAAGCTATCAAAACAGATTTACCAATTTATTTAATCAGTTTAGTTTTTCGTGTGGCTCATTTATTTTACATTTATTTCTGATCCAGGTGGTTATTTGAAAGCCTTTGTTTCTGTTAATTATGTTATTTATTTGTACAGTTAATGAAATTAATTAAAATATTAAACCGATGATAGAAATATTTTCAATGCAGAAATTGATACTTAATGAAAACTATGTTTAATAACTGCTTAAAACTTATTTTGAAAATATACTCTGGCAAACAAGCTCATCAGAAGGCATATTCCAGTTTTCTGAATATGACTTTAAGAATAACAGCAGTGGTAGTTGTATTTATTCAGGGGGAAATCTTAATGTTTAGGGGAAATATTGTAGATGTAACAAATGAAGTCCAACAAATTAAAGAAACAGAGATGCTAGATCAGCAGACGGTGCCTGTCTGATCTGTGTGTTGGAGCTCTGTGTGGTTCGGTGTCAGGCCCAGATTTCCTCCTCTGTCTTAGTCTCGGCTCCTCGCTGTGAGGCTCCTCGCTGTGAGGCTCCCCGCTGTGAGGCTCCCCGCTGCAGCGCCTCATTTCATCCCGGGGCCCGCAGGAACATCTCGCTCCTTTGCGCCTCTCTGAAGAAATGTCAGACGTCGGTTCGGATCAGGTCCGCACGGAGAGCAGAACTGGAGCCGAACCGAGCCGAACCATCAGGAGGCCTCGGTTCCTCAGCCGCACACCGTGTTCGTGATCCTGGACTCGGCTGAAACTCTCAACTTGGTCCAGTAAGTCTGGAAGCGTTTTCCGTTATCTGTTACCGGACTCCGGCCAGAAAACTGTAAGTTCTGAGGTGATCGGAGTTATGGATAAAATATCTGCCTTATTTATGCAAACGGAGACCTTGGTTCAGACCCCGGGTCTGAACCAAGGCTCAGTAATAATCGTGATTTCTGTTGGAATATTATTGGCATAGATCCGTGAAACGAGCGGGGATCTCAAAGGAGGAAAACTACAGTTAGAGTTGAGGCTTAAATGTGGTGATTTTTGAATGGAGTTTGGTCTGATCAAGCTTGAGAGAAGCAGCAGTAAAGTTAATATTTGTCAGAGTGGAATGCTGAATCTGCACTCTGATGAAGATGATGATGGTAGGTTATTGTTGTTGTGTTCTATTTTACCTTTGACCCCTGAACCTTCTGTGATGACTCATCAATCAGGAATCTCCTCCTTCCTCCTCCTCTTCAGGCTGAGGGAAGCCAGCCTTCCTCTGCTCACGCTGCTTTGACTCCACCTCAGCTGCTGTTGGATCCATGAATCTGTTGTTCTCACTGGGATTCAGACCCGGATCAGATCAGTTCTGGGAAACTGTTCTGCACCTTGTTTTGGGTACAGCTGGATTTTATTGAGAGAAGGTGAAGTCGCGATGAGTCACAGCTGCTCTGCAGGCCTGGATCTGTTCAGACACATAAAGCTTCGTGGGAACAGAAAGCAAAAGTAGACGAAGGTTTAGATGAACAGGTAAACTGCAGCTGGGAAACACCTGAGCGGGACAGTCAATTTTATTTATATAAAACAATTCAACAACATGGCAGTTCAAAGAGCTTTCCATCACAAAACATAATGCTGTAACCAATATTGAAACAAAATCTAACACCACCATCAAAATCAACATCAAATATGTTGATCAGTCTTCCAGAGTTTGTTAGTTAATAAACTCTAATCACGTGGTTTTTAGCCTTTATTCAAAGGAACTCAGCTGTTTTGCAGTTTTCTGGAGGTTTGGTCCAGATTTGTGGTTCATAGAAGCTGAATGCTGCTTCTCCATGTTTGGTTCTGATTGTGGGGATGCAGAGCAGACCAGAATCATAACCATAACCAGAAGACCTGAGAGGTGTGGAAGGCTACAACAACAGCAGCAGATCTTTAATGTAATGTTCAGTGATTTATAAACTACCATCAATAGTTTAGTCTTTCCTCTCAGTGAAGGACCGTACAACTGGGTTTATGTGCTCTATCTTCCTGGTTTTAGTCAGAACTCTAGCAGTAGCATTCTGAATCAGCTGTAGCTGGACCATTGATTTGTTAGTCAAGCCTGTGAAGACACTGCTGCATTTATCTTTATTCAGCTAAAGATAAACACATGAATCTTTCTGGGATATTTGTTCTTTAATCCTGGAAATGTTCTTCAGGTGATAGAAGCCCAACTTTGTAACTGTCTTTATGTAGCTCTGGAAGTTCAGGTCTGAGTCCATCACTACAGCCAAATTTCGGGCATGGTCTCTATTTTGTAACAATAATAACTGACCGACATCTCAAATCAGATGTGGATGTAGCAAGAAAAACACAATTAGAAATATGTTTAATCAGTAACACATAATTTTTTGTAAAATCTGCTAACATCGGAAATGTCCTTTTGTACCAACATGTTCCCGCATGTTCTCAGACTGTCCCTGTTCTCCTAAAGCATCCCCTGTTGTAAATACAAAATTATTCATAAATTCCAGTTTTCCTGTGAATATTAAGTAACACGTCCCATTGAGCATAGATGACCCCATAAATCTGACCGGTTACCAGGGGACCCACAAAGGCATAAAAACCAGAACATCTTTTCACTCAGGAAATGGTGAAGCTAGACAGCTACCAGACGTACCTCTTCTTTTCTGTAATCCAGTGTTTGCAGTTCTCCGTCTGCAGGACATCTCATGAGATGATGAAGCTAACTCTGTCAGCTCATTGGTCAACTGATTCCGATTGGTTCTGATTGATTGATTTTTTTGTGTGTTTAAGGATGGAGTCTGGGATTGTGGCCGACATCGAGGTCGACAGTTTGATTCCCACAGACAGTGACATATTCTATCAGCTCAAGAGCCAGCCAATCAGCATGAGGTGAGTGACCTTACAGGTTAAATCGTCCAGGTACCGACTACCTCCTGGTCAGGTTCAGACTACTTTCTGTAAAGTCAACCTCATAATATCTCTTCTTTCAGTTCCTCTGCAGCATCCCCCTCTTCATCATCTTCATCGTCTCTTCCGTCGGTGATGTCATCCCGGTGAGCAGCCTCACCTGTTTTTTTTTCTGTTACCTGTTATTCTCTGAGTGCCCTGCAGGGGGCGCTGACAGGTCACCTGCTGCTCTGCTCCTGCAGGGTTCTGATGCGTCAGGGGCTGATGCGGCAGCAGGCGCTGGAGGAGCAGCAGAAGGAGGCACAGCAGCAGAGGGAGGCGCAGCGCTGCAGCGACTCCTCCTCCCCCATAACTCTGGCTAACTCCGCCCCCTGCACACCTGCCCAGGTTCCCGTGGAGGTGCTGAAGGTACGGTCCGGCCCAGCAGGAAACTCCAGCTGCTGAGGTTGGCGCTGACGACCTTGTTTCCAACAGGTGCAAACTCACCTGGAGAACCCCACCAGGTACCACATCCAACAGGCCCAGAGGCAGCAGGTCCGCCAATACCTGTCCAACACCATGACAGCCAATCAGCAGCCAGGGCAGCAGCCAAGCTCCTCCCCAGCAGGACTCTGGTGCCACGCTGTCCAATGAGAGCAGCCCAAAGCAGGAGGTAACGACCAAAACCGGGCCGGCCGCAGCAGGTTTGCAGTTGGTCCTGTGATGCCTAACAGTTGGACAGGAAGCAGCATCAGCTCCAACAGGAAGCAGCATCAGATCCAACAGGAAGCAGCATCAGCTCCAACAGGAAGCAGCATCAGATCCAACAGGAAGCAGCATCAGATCCAACAGGAAGCAGCATCAGCTCCAACAGGAAGCAGCATCAGATCCAACAGGAAGCAGCATCAGATCCAACAGGAAGCAGCATCAGATCCAACAGGAAGCAGCATCAGATCCAACAGGAAGCAGCATCAGATCCAACAGGAAGCAGCATCAGCTCTAACTGCTTCCTGTCTGGCTGCAACTGCTGAGTCGGCGCCTCCAGAGAATCTGAGTCAGGCAGCAGAAAGCCAGGAAAACCACTTCCTGTTGGAGACGAGGCTGCTGCTGCACTTTTCCCAGAACTGATCTGATCCATCCATCCATCCATCATCCATCATCCATCGTCC